CCCCAAAACCCCAAAACCCCAAAACCCCAAAACCCCTTAGACTCGGTTTGATATGGAATAGTTATTTATAAGTTAGGAAATGGATAACTCCACTTCAACTATGTTTCAGTTATCGACAAGGTGATCTTCTTCATCTGATGACATTATACTTGAGTTGTCACTGTCGATCACCCTACCTCCTTGTGCAAGGGTAGGAATATCCTCCTCGTCATCGGAGAAGTTCATAATTTCTTCAAATAAATCTCCTATTTCTGTGTCACGGCTGCTGTACACAGTGCTTCTAGAGAAGTGGCTCTGCACAGTGTCCAAAATAGGCAAAATAGAGTCTGTAGAGCAATGCTCGTAATGTTTGACTTCCCAAGGAATAGACTTTTCGTGCTTCTCCTTTATTTGTGAGTTGTAGCCCTCGATATAATTGCTGTCAAATTTTTCTTTAGAAATAAAATGACACTCCTGTTCTAGCCTACCTTTAGAAGGTTCAATAGCATTGAGGTCTTCCATGCTGACACCTGTCAAATAGACTAAAGAGTAGACCTTGGTGATGCAATCAATGATCAGTTCATAGGAGTTAAATGGAAAACTTGTTTGTTGGGAAAAATTGTCCCACTGTGAGAGCAAATACTGGATAACAAAAATCTGGAAAACTCCTGTAATTTTCCTTGCTCTTCATACCTGCTTTCAGAGGACAGTAAAATACCCTTTCAGTTTTGAATTCACATTCTGAGGAAGTAAGTATCTCAAAGACCTGCAAACGAGAAGAGGGGATGAGATATGTTTAACTTGCAAACTACTGTTTGCCAAAATCTTAACAAAATTATCGCCAAAATTTAGGTAGTTTATTTTATTTTGATTTATACAATCCAGAATTTGATTCACACTGTACACAGAAGCATTAAAATTTTTAGCAACGTATTCAAAATATCCAAGAATCAAGAAGTTCAGCACAGTATTGGGCTCAACAGAAGTCAACTTATCATGCTGGTTATCATGTTTAGACACCTTAATATCACTCATCTGTTGCTTAAAAGTTTTAGAATCGGTCTCCACAGAGTCATAATAAAAGCTAAGATACTTAGTCAAAAGTTTCTCAAATCTAATCTTCTTTGTCTCCTGTTTGGCTAATTGCTTAACTAGCTTAATCTGAGACTGGTCTGATAGTAAAGACTGGTACTCAGTTTCAAGACTTGAGCGGACTCTTCTCTTCAGCCACTTCTTATAATTGACATTCTGACATTGCTTATCAGTTAAATATTCGTTATGTGACAAGTCTATCGTGAAAATGAGGAGGACCAGCTTGTCTCTTTTCCTTAATCTACTGCTTATAAATTTGTCTAGAAAAAGCCCTTTCTTTACACCGAGATTAGTATATATCTGCTCTGCAATTTCTGAAAGGATCTGGATTGTGTAAGTCCTGTCCTCAATATTAAGCAGCTTGCCTCCCTTGTATTTGATCGTTCTGAACAGCTTAACTGGGTCTAGTTTAAAATTATCAATCAAAAAGTCGACAGAATACTTCCTTTGTATATAAATCATACCTCGCTCTAGGATGTCTATCCCAGGATGATTTTTAAGCATCAACACATCTTCAGGAGTTTTAAAGTCCACATAAAGATGGTCGTTATATCAGATAGTGTTTCTTTTCAAGAACTCAAGAGTGTTATTTCAAGTCTTTGCATTAGCCTTCTTATTTCTTTTACGAGAAATTTCTCCTTCATCTATTCTGAGTTCGTAATAAACCTGCTTAACTTGGTTCAGATAAGATTTATTCTTTATGTCTTCTCTCTCAGGTCCAGAAGTCTCTTTCAGATTTTGACAGTAATCCTCAAGCTGTTTTTGGGTGAAAAAGGTGAATCTCTTAATTTGTTTCTTCTTGTCCATCTGGAGGCCACCTTTTCGTTCACTAGTAAAAGGGCCAATAATAGGTTTATTTTTCCATCATTTCAGATATTTCAACCACATACTTATTACAATTCGCTCGAATTGCCCACTTAGCCCCATTGCCAAACGCATCTGTCTAGCTCACAACAACATTCCAAAGGTTATTGCTAAAAAGTAATCGACCCAGTGATCTGATATCGTTTGTACTTTCTCTTCATCCTTCTTCTCATTACTCCCACATACATTTGTGAACAACTGTCGTGTCCAGTCCATTATATCCTACACCCATAATTCTCAATAAGCGGGCTCGAAGTATCACCTAACTTGACTAATTTCGCAATCCTGTGACTCTTCGACTTCTTATCACCAACAGGAGTATGATCCTTGCTATCCTTACCCTTAACCTTCTTAATCCTCGCTTTACTCTTCTGGGCTTCCATCTTAGTCTTAAAATCCACTCTGACATTATTACCAAGCGTATTCACTGTCTTTCAGATCTTGCAAATAAGGCTGCCATTGAGCCTATCGAAACGGGTGCTGCCGCATGACTTGCACTTCTGGGAGTGATTATTAGGGGCGTTTGAGTCTTGATCGGAGTCAGAATACATTTCAAGCAGCGAGTCCTCGCTGTCACTGTAATCCATTTTTAGGCTAAATATATTATTTTAGGGTATTTGAAGTTTTGGGGTTTTGGGGTTTTGGGGTTTTGGGGTTTTGGGG